TCTGATGTAATGGATGATACTCACATCGTTTTCACCAATATCAACAGCTTCTGCCATTGCATCATCAATGTCAGGCACCTACATTCATACAATTAATCAAACAGAACCCCTGAAATCTCTCAATGAGAGTTATGTCAAAGAGAATGAAAGATTGGTCATTTTACCTCAACCTGCTCGGTTTTCTCTTTTGCCAGTAGTGCTTCATGCATCTCTCTCGAGATGACTTTTCCATTCTGATCAAATCCAAACAAAGAAAACGAATTAGACCAAGAAAGACAAATAGGAAAAGAATTTTGAGGAAAGCAGACTAACCTCCTTTAGATAAGAGAGCATATTTGGTGTGGGCTCATGAAAATCTGGTCCTCGGAAATCCATAACCGCATCGGGAGCTTGAATGTAGTTAATTGTCGGGTAAACTGGATCCCCTCCCCATACTGCAAGAAACCGAGAAAGTTAAATCGAAATATTGAATATCCATGATGAGTTAGTTTAAAGGTTAAAGTTTCATACTTTGCTTAATTTCATCCTCCTTCATCCGCATTGCCAAAGGATCTCTCTTGATCCGGATATCAGTACCCATCATTATCCGGTATTCCCGGTCTGTTTGGTGAGAGAACATCTCAATCAGTTGAGTGTTTTCATCTTCACCCGTCTCTTCAAAATGTTTTTGTACAGCTTCCCGTGAAGTGTCTCTTTTCCATGCTTTTACCCATTCAGAATAAAAAGCCATTGGACCTTCTTTCCCTAATCTCTCTCGCTCAGCTTGTAGCCTGAGAATTATCGAGAAAGTCCAAGAAAATAACAAATCAGGTTTTTCCAACTAGCTAAACAATTCTATGAGGTACCTCTCTTCCTTGAAAAGATGCCGTCTTGCTCTATAAAGAGAGGTTTCCGTGAGTGTCGGTTCTTCTCCATAGAGTTTCACTTGTCCTGTTTTTGCCATTGCCTTGAGAAAAACCTGCACCAACAAAATAGCATAATGGATCAAGTATCAAAGGATAACGCACATTGTTAAACCCGAAATATCACTGTGATGACTGACTGTTTCAACATCAGGACGTCTTCTTTGCCATCTTGACCATTGTTCCTTCTCCGGTTTTCTCCAGTTCCACCACATTTCATCGCTCGTGAGTGTCTTTTCTATCTGTTTCTTCTTTGTAGGATCGATAAAAGGATGTGGCCGTCCAAGCTTTTTGTCTAATTCAAAACCACTCTCTTCCTCTTCTTCTCTCTCAAACTCATTATTATAGACAACAAACCCGTCGTTTTCCTCTTCGTCAGAGTTATCCTCAGAATCCGATACTTCATCATTAGATTCAACGGTCACATTTTCTGCAGCTGCTTTCCGATTCTTCTTTCTCCGACTTCCAGGATTTTTTCCATATGAAGGGAAACTCGAAGACTCACCAGCTGGTTTAGGAGCCCTAGCAGCTCTAACCCGACTCGAAGTTCCTTCAGGCCAATAGTCCTCACCTGGAATACTAGCCCGAGCCCCGGATGCTGGCTCGAGTTTACCAGAAGTCGAATCCATATAACTATAGTAAGGAGGCCTTTCGACAGACACATACTCATATCCTTCTCCATTCTTTCTAGATCCTTCACTTGCAATATCATCATCACCATCATTTCCCTTCTTGCATTTGATACAATGTCGCAATGACCGATCCGCGTAACTAATCCCGACATGTAATGTCCTGATTGGAAATCCGCATTTACCCCGCCTCTACATGTATAAACAACAAGCTTAGAGATCAAAACATTTGATTAGTAAACACATGATGTCTAAGATGTAAGAACCAACCTGCAAAATACACTTTCCACTCTCTGTGCATACTTTATCTGCCCAAAACAAG